TAAGCATGCTCAAAAAATATTTTTAAAAAATAATTTTTTATGTGTTATTTGAGCCATTTTTGACTTATTTCATCATCACTGATAATTGAGGAACTTAAAATCTATTCCTGAATTTGGTCAAATGCCAAAACTTTGCAAAATTTTCAATTTTGTGTTTTACTTTAGCTCAAAGTCAAATATACTTGACTCCATAAAGTAGAGTCAAAAATATTTGACTTTTTAGACTTAAAAACCAAAATTTTCTAAGTCCCAACACAAGTTGAATATATTTGACCAAAAAGTCAAATATATTTAACCGCTGTTGATTAAGTCAAATATTTTTGATTTTNACTATGGACACTATGATGTTTCTGCAGCAGCAGCAGCACCGGAACAGCCAACAGAGACATTGCGGTGAAGGCAATTAGAAATGTGCATTGCCGGCTGTGCTCGAGCTGCCGTGCAGAGAGGATCTCCGGACAGATGAGTTGAGCTGAGCTGAACTGAGTTGAGCAATCTGAGTGAGTCACCGGCATTGTCTGCATGGAGGAGAAAGAATGAACAAAGAATATTAAAAGACAGACAGAAAGACACTTACCACTACTGAATGATAGTTGTCGTCGTCTTCCGCCGTCGAATCAGTCCTCAGTCGTCAGTGCAGATTTGTCACCGTCAATTTGTCGCTCTCCTCACCGACAATAGCCACACGCCAGCAGCGTCAAGGAGCCCACCACTGCTCTTATCGACGAGCATCCATAATTACAGCACTGCTAATTACCGATAGGAGCACAGAGACGTAAAGACGTGAAGACAGCAACAGCAGCAGCAAGAGCGGTGTGACACCGCCAAGTAATGGTAAAATGAAGTCATTTCACGGTAGAGAACAGTTAAATCTCCCTCAAATGGTAATTAGATTGCCATCTCTGCCGCGAACAACGGAACCAGGATGTGCTGCTGTTGCTGCTGCAGATGCTTNGAGACGTAAAGACGTGAAGACAGCAACAGCAGCAGCAAGAGCGGTGTGACACCGCCAAGTAATGGTAAAATGAAGTCATTTCACGGTAGAGAACAGTTAAATCTCCCTCAAATGGTAATTAGATTGCCATCTCTGCCGCGAACAACGGAACCAGGATGTGCTGCTGCAGATGCTAGTGGAGTAGAGCGCCGGCAAGGTAGAAAGGAGCATCAGTGAGAAAGGAAACAACCCGGCAATTGGCCTTGAACGAGGCCTCTGACGCAAAAGTAACAAATAAAAAAGATTGAAACCCCAGAACACATAAGAACACAAACTACAGCAAACAAATAAAAGTGANCTGTTGCTGCTGCAGATGCTTGTGGAGTAGAGCGCCGGCAAGGTAGAAAGGAGCATCAGTGAGAAAGGAAACAACCCGGCAATTGGCCTTGAACGAGGCCTCTGACGCAAAAGTAACAAATAAAAAAGATTGAAACCCCAGAACACATAAGAACACAAACTACAGCAAACAAATGAAAGTGAAGTTGACTTTTTCAGCTGTTCTAGTGCTGCTTACACTGAATTTGAGTAGTCATAAACAATGTAATTAATATCAATAATAATAACAGGTAAAAGTGAGAAGCAGTGGACAATAAAACTAGTGTGCGTCTTCCAGAAACTCTCAGCAGCGGTGAGACTGTCCAGCAGACAGGAGGCAGACAGGTAGCCAGCAGCGACAGTAGGCACACATCTAAGCGACAAATCAAAACTGGAGATCGATTGCGGACAGTGAGAGGTCAAATGTCACCGCTTGTTGCGGTCACAGGCGAGTGAACACGCAACACAGTGCACTGTCCGCTGACCGTGACCCCCTGAATTGTCTTCTGTGGTGGGGGACTACTTTGCCAGCATAGTAGTCTCACTGATCAGATCGATGCAGCAGCAGCAGCAACAACAACATAATCTCCCATATCTCAATTGACTCAATCACTGCACTGTGAATGTGTGCCCTAACAATTCCCTCATCTCTGAGACCAATTTGTCCCTTTACCACTGGTCAACCAGAGACGATGGTGGAGTTGACCTTGAAGGGAAGACCCTGTCTTTGCATATGCAGACGGTGCGGAAACGGAAGAACCGCCAGCATCAGCCAGTGCTGCACTGAACTAGTGATGCACATCACGACGACACGAGTGGGTGCTGGGCTGCAGCCTCTTTGCTGCCTTTCTGGCAGTCCTGTCACGTAACGCTAATCGTCAATGAATAGAGAAAGAGAAAGATAGGTGATGGACAGGCTGAATGGACGAAGACAGTGTGTCGCAAACGTGGCCATTAGAAGCACTGGGCACATACACAAACACACACACAGAGCGAGTCCTCGTGCCGATCGGTGCGATGAGGTAGTGCGGCCAACAAAGGAAGCAACCGAGAGAAGACACCGGCTGAAAATTACTGGGTTTGAGCATTGAGATCAAGGCTAACGTCTCCGGCGCACGGTACTCTCTTTCTTTGGTGGCTGGGCGAAGATTAGGTGAAGGCTGTGGTAGTGGTGTCGTCCACTTGCCCGGAAAGCGTCGAACGTCACCACCGCCGTTCGAAAGAAGATACTAATTTGCAAAATCAAAGCACATTACTTCGCGGCTGTATTGTGAGGCTGTATTGTGCACTTTGTGCCTTGCCAAACAGCCTACGAGCAAATATGAAACATGAATTGATCGAAAATGAGAGACGAGAGATAAGCAGCAGCAAAGGCATTGAAGTCGCCGTAAATGACCGCCATTTGCCTTCTCCGCCTCCTCCTCCTTCTCCTTCGCCGTGACATCAATCGATTGATGTCAGGCAGACTCTTCTGAATGGACGCAGGTAATGAAGCAGCCAGTCCTGGTGGCTATCTTTGTCCCACCAGAGAAAATGAGTGTCCCAATGAGGTGCACCACTGTCACCAATTAGCCGAGAAATCGGTCCCCAGAGTGTAGTTGAGTGAGGAAAGGAGAGAGAGACAAATCAGGCTAATTACAGTGATTACCGCGCTCGATAGTTGACAGTGCCAGTGGGCATTGTGTCCATCTATCCACTGCATTCTTCCCAGTCATTCTTGGTTGGCAACGACCGTGGCACTATAATTTGGCCGCAACGAGTTGTGGCCTCCACCACCACTCTGTCAGTGTGCTGCCACTGTCATTGTCAACCAGCCAGTCAGTGCGCCCCATTGGGTACCCACTGTGTGGCAGTGTCTATGACTGGTGTCTGCCACTGTCTGGCCTTTGCAAACACGTAGAGAACAGCAGAAGCAGCAGCAGCAGACAGACAAAAGAGTTGTGTGACAAACCTCCGATTTGAATGATAAAAGTACTGCTGCTGTTGCTTGTCAGCGAAATTGCTCGATATAACCGAGGCAAACACAAAGCAAAGGATGTGATTTGGTGCTGTGCACTTCTTGCCAGCTATATAGTCAGCACGCCTCTCTCGGTGCAAGACCAAGCAGCCGCAGCACTCTAATCACCATAATGGCTTCATTCTGTGCCAGTGCACTTCTGCTGCTGCTGCTTCTTCACCAGTGTACTCATCTCCCGTGCACTGACAGTTGGCCTTTCGCCACTAAAAACGACGAGCACATCTCTTCTCATCTGCGGCGCTGAAGCATAATCGGCGAGAATGATGATGAANTGCTGCTGCTTCTTCACCAGTGTACTCATCTCCCGTGCACTGACAGTTGGCCTTTCGCCACTAAAAACGACGAGCACATCTCTTCTCATCTGCGGCGCTGAAGCATAATCTGCGAGAATGATGATGATGATTAGAGTTGCAGAAAAAAATGACAGCAGCAGCAGAGAACGTGGCTCACTGCCGCGCGACGACACACACGGAGACACTGTCAAATTCCATAATGACGCCGAGTGATGATAATGGCGCAGTGGAGAGAGAGAGGCATAATGGTCGCAGCAGAGGATGGCGATGTCGACGACGACAGCGACGGCGATGATGATCATTATTAATAGTTAATTGTAATTAACTAATAAGGCACAGGGTGTGGGGCACTTTTTGCAGGTCTAATAGTCAGACACGACACAGACACGTTGCCGTCAGTTGTTGGCGCTAGCTGGGCACAGTATGGGAGCCAGCAGGCAAAGGCAGTTTATGTCGGTAAGGGTGAAAGTCACCGGGACAGACGGGCACCGGTGGGGAGAGAAAGAGAGAGAGAGTACTAAAAGTGAGATTAGGTTCACAGAAGGTAGACTAGCTCAGGTACACTCGCCGAACATTGGCAGTAAAAATGCAATGGCTGCTGCCCGTTTGCCCATCGAGCTGTTTAGTCGAGTGATGATCAAATGAATAATAAATGGATCAATAGCCGGTGATGGTCGCTGCATGGACTGCCAGGCCATTAATGGACAGCAGATTAGCAGTAGTGCTCCTTCTAGCTATGAAAAGGCCTGCTAAGAGAAGAATTAGACACAAAGTCGTTAGTGAATTTAGATAGTTACGAAAAAACGAAGTAAAGTCATCAGAAGAATGAGAGCACAAAAAAACCGATGCGTAATGTTCAAGGCAACGTTCGATGGGCAGTCATCGGTTAGCAGTTTGGCGCAGTTGACACTTCACCAACACGTGGCAACTCCTGCTGACTAATGGCCAGCAAGTGCTGGCTGAACGCCATTTTCAAGATGGTTCCGTCCACCGACAGTGTGACAGTACAGTGGAAGGGGGAGAAAGCGTGACCGCTTCGTTGTTACGCTGCCGTAGATTGCTACCCTTGCATGCAGTGGCGCCACTGTATGCGAAATCTCTCGGAGAAAGAACAGCTCGCACACTCGTATTTCAAAAAACGGATTTTCAACAAAAAACCGTCTTTCAAAAAACGGTGCTTCGAAAAACATTGTTTCAAAAAACGGTGTTTCAAATTACTGTATTTCACTTTGCGTTTGTTCTTTGACGCCAGATATATCAGACTGCCATCTGATTGACTTCTTCTCTCCGCAGAACGTGCTCACGTCATCTCGTTCGTGTTTGTGCTCTCACATCCTCGCTTGTTGATTCGTAAGAACTTCTTTAGAAGCATCGCATCGAAATGGCCACTGAAGTTAGCAGCAGCCAGGTCATCTCTGCCAGCCATCACCCGCAGCCACAACCGCAGCAAGCGCCATCCTCGCAGGCCCAGCCAAGTCAGGCTCCCCAGCAGCAGCTTCACCAGACTCACCAGTCTCAGGGAGGATTGTCGTCGACACAGGCTCATGGAACTCGCCAGTACACCGCCAGTACTTCGCGCCCGAGTAACCGTGGAAACCGAGGCTACAATCACAGCAGCAATAGCCGTGGCTATAACAGTGAACGCAACCAACAAGGCTATGGAGCTCCGGTGAAGATTCACTACAGCAACAGCATGAACGGTGGCTACCCGAATCCAAGTCGCTTTCCAATGATTCGACACTACAATAGTGGCGCTACGAACGTAACTCTCACCCCTAATCCGTCGTTCACTCTTTCTAACCCACTGGTTCCGGCTGTTTCTGCCAATCATTTTCCGCAGAATCAGTTTTCTGGCATTTCAAACCAAACTACTTTTGATGAGCCTGGGCATGGCCTCTTGCAGAACCCGGGACAGAGTTTCGATCCGCAGCAACAGCCAGGCCAGCAGTTGGTTCCACATCGCAATCAAATGCAGTGGAATAACAGTCAAGTTCCAGTTCCGAACAGTCTTGCAGTCATGGACCAGCAGCATGCTGCCGAGATGAACGGAGGAGTGTTTGGCGAAAACACTATTGGAAACTATCAAAGCCAGCCGATGCAGCAGCAGCAGCAACAGGCGCAGCCATTGCATCACCAGCAGCAGCCACAGTTTTCACCGGCGCAAACTTACTTCCCGTACCATGGTCAATTTGGTGGAGGTGGACAGGCTGGTGTCAATCCCAACATGTTCTTTCCGCATCTCAACCAGTTCTACGGTAATCCGGCTCAGAACTTCCTTCCTGGTTTTGGGCCTTTTCAGCCACAGTTCATGAATCAAGCGGGTTACAATCCCTATGCTAACGGCGCTGCTTCAGCTGCTACCGGCGCCGGGCATGGCGCAAGCAACTTTATTTGCTCTGTGTGCAAGCAACAAATGCAAGCCAGCGAAGTTCAAGCTGCTTCTGAGGTAGCCGCCACTGAGAACAAGGCTTCAATTGAACCAGCTCACGAGTGAAGCTGCTCATCGGATCGAGGGTCCTACGCCGTCGTCAAATCGAATTCAGTAATTGTAGCTGTTGGCTAACTTTTCATTTTTAATTCTAAAAGATTACATATGGTTAGGCCCTCACACAAAAACACTTTCAATCGTTAATTTTCCTTTCACTCTCCAAATTAATCCCTCTTTCGTGTTGCTTACTCTAATGTAACTTCACGTCCTTTCTGTTATTAAAAAAGGTAAAATGCAAATTACCACAGTNCTCCAAATTAATCCCTCTTTCGTGTTGCTTACTCTAATGTAACTTCACGTCCTTTCTGTTATTAAAAAAGGTAAAATGCAAATTACCGCAGTCTTTGTGTGTCACCTAACTGGCAGTGAGAGAAATCGAAAGGTCCAATCTGACAACAACACGATAAAGTGCGATAAGAAGCAGGCACCGTTGCGCTTGGTCTCTTTATTGTGTATCTTCGCCTAATTAGAAGTGGGTGTTGTCAGCGTGTGGTTCTTCTATCTCTTTCTTTGTGGAAGGGCAGCCTTTCCCTTTGCTACTCTCAAATTGGAGTGAACGTTGCAAAAGCAGTCCTGTCAACCCGAAAGAGGACTGACTGCTTACACTTGCGCTGCTCGGTGCCTGCCTGCACTGGCTTCCGGTGACAATTAGATGGATACAGTGGATGCGCCAGTGGATGTGGTGTGGTCGTTGCCAGTCGGCAAAAGTCGCCAGCTCGAGAGAGTCTCGCACCAGTGGCACAAATGATAATTTGTGCAGCTCTTCTTCTCTCGTGTGGATCGCACATTAGGCGCTGCACATCGTCACATGGACGGTGATCTACTCACCAGTACGCTACTGTGTCCTCTCTGTGAGAAACACTAAAACCAAGTGATCCAAGGCGCATTTAGGGGGAAGGGGGAAGAAGATGGCTCCTTTGTTTTCATCGCNGGATGCGCCAGTGGATGTGGTGTGGTCGTTGCCAGTCGGCAAAAGTCGCCAGCTCGAGAGAGTCTCGCACCAGTGGCACAAATGATAATTTGTGCAGCTCTTCTTCTCTCGTGTGGATCGCACATTAGGCGCTGCACATCGTCACATGGACGGTGATCTACTCACCAGTACGCTACTGTGTCCTCTCTGTGAGAAACACTAAAACCAAGTGATCCAAGGCGCATTTAGGGGGAAGGGGGAAGAAGATGGCTCCTTTGTTTTCATCGCCAACAGTCCGAGCAAAAGCAAATTGATAAAACTTGGCTAGATCAACGGCCAAAGTGGTAGCGGCAGAAGCAGAAAAGGCAGACAATAAAAGATCCACACCTTTGAGTGTTCCGAGAGAGTGGTAAGAGAGTAGTAGTAGTTGTTGTAGACTTTGCCTGTCAGCCTGTTCACAAAGTTGCCGTACCGATAGTGATGACGGACTGACTGACTGTGTGTGTGTGCTTTACAATGCACCAACAGCAAAAAAGTTGTGAATGAAGTTCTCCGTGGAGTGCTTCATTCACAAATGGCTCTTGGTGCACCTTCCTTTGTCTTCGTTCGCGTCCTGCGCTGCTTCCATCACTTTGCTTTCCCACCACGAGTCGCACACTCTCACACAGACTGCACACTGCACTTCGACAGGTTGCTGACTAGTTTCCTCCTGCATCCTTTGCAACTGACTCAGTCTGCTTCGCTTTTGAGTGTCAGCGGCATTGACGGAAAGTTGGCCTCATTGCTCTACTTGCCTTTGCTCTATTCACCTTCCAAGCAGGTAGGGCACAGGGCAGCAAACACACCGTATATGTCGCAGTACGTAGTAGATGCCTACCCCTGCTTTTACTTCCCTGCCCTTGCCCCTTTTGACTGGCGGTGCCACGCGACTGAAGTGAGTCCTACAAGGCTATAATTTGTCCATCGAAGTGGATGAGGCAAAATGAAAGGAGATTATTTACACTCCAATGGATGCTCTACTGCTACCCATCATCATTATCAAAACAGTGGATGCTGCCCGTGATGATGATGATGATCACATCTCGAGCACTACTCGTGCCGCACAGAGAGCAACGGCCATCACAACAACACCTAGCTCATAATTCAAAACACACTCACAGGCAGATATACCGATCGAACGAAAGGAAATCAAACGCACTGCTGCTGCAGATGAAAGCTCTATAATTAGGATTGAAGAAAGTGAGGGAGAGAGAGAGAGAGAGAAATGATAGAAACGACAGTGATGACAGTGTTCAGTGCTCAACACGCCGGTCTCTGTCTGTCGGTCGGATGTGTCAGTGTAAATGCACACACACACAACACAACACAAAGCACCGGTGACTTGCCCTTCCGCGCTCAAATCAATGGCAAATGTGGTTTGTATTTAAATTTGAAGCACAATCTGCGCTTTCACTTTCTCAGGCCAGCGAGCATCTCATCTTGAAAGCAATCACTCTCACTAATTTTTTCCCTCAATTTCGCTCTTCTCCTTGATTGGATCACATTGGCTCGGTCTTAAAAGGTGATGTCTTCATCGTCGATGCATCTCCTCCGCATCTTCAGTGACACCGTACTGTGACCAAATAAATCACAAGATATTCACATTCGTTGAAGCAGCAGAAGCAGCATCAGCCAGGCCTATTGGAAAGACAATCTTCGCTATAAATAATAACTCGGAGCAGAAGCATCCAAGCAGCCATCAAGTATGAGATGAGCTGAACTGAAGCAGAGACAGAGGCCCATTTTCTACAACTGCCGCCGAATGAAGTTGCCAGTAGACGGGCCAATAAATCCTGACAGAGATTGAGATAAATTGGTGCAGATGACGCAAAAGTAGTAGTGAGCTCTGCTGCCAACCACAGCCACTGCTCGCTGAATACGGAAAATATGAATTCATCAGTGCGACTGAGCGATATGCAACCGGCAATCAGCGGACAGTGAACACGGACCAGCAGCAGAAGCAGCAGCACAGGGGGCAATAAATCAACGAGCCTAATTGAAGCTGTCAGAGGATGCACTGCAACTTTTCTCATCAGTTGATCCTGATGCAGATTTCGTAGTAGTCACACACAAAATGATGCAGTTTCTGCAGAGACACCACTGGAACGACCAACGGTGTCAACCGATTCATTTGGCTTTTTCATCTGAACGTAATCTGACACTAGCAGTTTATGTTTGTGATCAAACATTTCTAAAAAATCGAATGACAGCCGAGGGTGACGGCAACGGTGGTGGTAATTTGACAACGGCAACATTCAAATCAGGTGAAAAGGGGAAATGTAATATGCCTTAGATCCGTTTTGCCAGGAAGTCATGTAACAATTGATTTGATCTGTCACGTTGGTAGTAAAATCAAGCGAGATTTTCAGCCAAAGATAGCCATCAAGCATGTCAATCTCCTTTTTATGTTGTTGCTTCTTTTTTGTTGTTTTTATAGCAAAACTGATTGTTAGCATGACTTTTGACTGATTTCACATTGGGAAAACAGTTTGCTTCTGATAAAAGTAATAAAAAATAGTTAATTAAGTACCGTTGCTGTTGATCCAGCCTATTTGCAGATTACTGTGATGATTTTTCTCAATGAATCTTTTAAATTGAATGTGGTAGAGATGATCTTCAGTCGTGCACTCACCATAAACCGAGTTGAGCATCAACAACCCCAACACTTTATCTGTGCACTGGTAATTATCACAGTTAATAAAACCCCCCAAAGCTTAGCTGTTGTCAGTCAAGTGCAAAGTTGAATGGACAGAGTGAAAAAGCAGAAAAGGACAAAAACGAAAAACAAAACGAGTTTTACGACAATCGGACGAACACCGGCTGTGCGACATGATTGCGAAGAGAGTACTGCTGCTGCTGATGCTAATGATGGTGATGCGTTTGACTGAACTGCAGTGCCAATATTTGCTCAATTGCCGCAAATCTAATGACGACATCCTCAATCAGTGGAAAAACACACGAGGAAGAGATGGCAATNGCTGATGCTAATGATGGTGATGCGTTTGACTGAACTGCAGTGCCAATATTTGCTCAATTGCCGCAAATCTAATGACGACATCCTCAATCAGTGGAAAAACACACGAGGAAGCGATGGCAAATGAGCAACAGCAACTGGTGGTGCAAATCATGTCAATCGGAACTGACACGGCTAATAATAATAAGATGAAATGAGGAAAAACAAGGCTGTTGAATGTTGTGCAAACATTGCCAGGCAAAAAACAAGTGAACAAAACGAGCTTTATCATCAGTGTTTTGGTGAGGTAACAGTTTAGTTGGGTAGATGTTCATTCACAGCTTTGCGTTGATAATGAAGAAAGGCGATAATGGCCAGGTTCAGTGAGCAAAGATCAGAGAAGGTAATACTCATTTCTGTGTGTTCTCTGCTGCTTTTTAAACATTGAACACACTTGTCAACATACAATCGTAGTGGTGGTCATCATCGGACAAACATCCGGCCATATTACCGATGTTTTGGTGGTGTTAAACTGCGGCTAACTAGTTGGTTTGCTAGTTGGTTGACACTGCAGCACCAAACTGCAGTTGCACTGCAGTTCATAGTTTGGAACTGTGCATTAGAGAAGCTTTGTAGAGAGTAATCGATTGAAACTTGAAGAACAGCTCAGTGCAAAGTCAGACTGGGTAAACAGTAGGGAGAAATGAAGCACAAGCAATGTGCCAACATTCGGCGACACAAGCCCGACAGGACAAACATACTCTCAACGGCAACACAACTACTACTTGTTGCCCACTCGCACTTAAACAATCACACACACACAGTTTGTCTATTGCAGACCATTAAAGACGCATGGGAATTTTCAATTGAAGCAGTGCTTTTTTCAAACAGTGACAAGTCTAAATCTCGTGCGAATGACGATGACTATGTCTGTCAAATAATCGACAATGATGATTCATCTGGCACATGTTGATGATCATGATATTTATTGTAGAACAGAAATCGTGAAAACAGCTTGAGTTTTTAAACGTCCACCTCCATAGTTGATGTTTGCAAACTTTTAGAAACCGTTTTGATGATTAGTGAGCTCTTCTTTTGATTAGT